GAACTTTTTGACCTCCCCTCGTAGGTCTAGGAAGATAATTTATAGACTGATAGCTTATATGAACGGAATAAATGAGTTCAATTACGGAACTATACATACATCATCAACCTATTTGTGCCCACTGGTGAGCAAAGGCTTCTTCTCACGTAGAGAAGGCTAGAGCATTAATCACCACGCCTGCTCAAGGCAGATTGGCGATTTCAAACTTATCATTTGAAATTGTAAGAACCATACCCAATTACTTATATATTACTGTTATTTATATTAAATACTTTGACCAAATGTTAAAATTAAAAATTAATTCATTTCAATTAATAATATTTAATTTTATTAGAATATCATTAAATATTATCCTCATATGTAATCTACTTCTTTAACTTAAACTTAATACAAATACAATACGATATAAAAGTTTGAAAGAAGACATTAAGAGTTTTATCTAGCTAGATCGATGTCACGCTCTGTATCGTATGTAATTTAGGTTTAAATTAACTTTTGGATTCTATGCTTTTGTCACGAAGTTATGAAAATAGATTTCACATCATTGAAACTGTAGGTAAATTCGTGTTTATTTTATTATTCTGGTTATGATGTAAACAAAATTGTATAAACAGTATTTTTCAATAACACCTGATATTTATCCGTTAATTTTTTTCACATAAGTATATAATATATACAGTAAACAGAAACTTTATTAGCGGTTAACATCTGATTCCCCTTCCATATGGGGTTTATAGCTTTTAAACGGTGTAGATTTATGGCGATCCCTATAAAATCGACAGCCCTAATACTATCATGGTGTTCCGAATAATTAATGGGGGGATAGGCTTAAAATTTTCATACGTATCGTTACCTTGATTAAAAAAAAGTTTTTTCAGTTATTGAACACAGAAGTAGTTAAGGGTGTTATTATAATTATTGTTAGACTGATTTTGTATTTAATTTTTATAATACAAAATTGAGACAGCACTATTAAGTAGACAATTAACAAAAAAAATAATAAGAAATATCTACCTATATACCTCTTAATCTAAGTCCATACATAGGCATTAAGTTTCCACATGGAACTTCATATCCCTACTAATATTATAAATGCGAAAGTAACTCTGTCTGTCTGTCTGTCTGCTACGCTTTCACGCCTAAACCACTGAACTGATTTTAATGAAATTCGGTACAGACATAGAGTTGACCTTGAGAAAGAACATAGGATAGTTTTTATCCCAGACTTTTGAAAGGTTCTCTTGGAAACGCGATATAACCGAACTCAGCGCGGCGAAGCTGCGGGCGGAAAGCTAGTATCAAATATATTTTAAATTCCATCAGTTAAAAGTGCTTGTTTACATTCCTACAATCATTCAAAGGAATCTTTAATATACGTTTGTGTGTTCCGACTTTAATGCGTTCTGTGATCGTTAATCTCATTGCATTGATAGATTTCTTCTTAAGAAATAATAGATGCAGTGTGTCCGATAGCCGTACAAGGAAAAAACGAAACATTTGTACAGATAAATATATTATATATTCAATTTAATTATATGTTAGTACATTACCAAATTTAGCTTATATTAAGAAAATATTAAAATAGAAAATATTTGTTGACAATGTCAGTGCATTTTGTGAACAAAGAATTACAAAACATCGTAGTCTCGTACAGTGATCATTTTATGGTCACCCCATGCTTGTATAAGGATACACTTTTACTCGCATTCCTAATCTGACTCCAGCGCAGTTTCACTCGGCACGCTCCCAGCATACCGACAGCTATCAGTACCGTACGGTGGAGATATTAATGGTGACCATGATTTAAAAATAGAAAGGACAGGATTATAATGTAATAGTTTATTTTATTTTGAAAATTGTTTAATTGTTTATTCTTTAGAAATAGAGTTTTAAAGCCGCGGTTTTAATTTGCACATGCCATGAAAATAATAAATGTATTAATAATTTTTACAAAAACTGTAATGTGTAGACACTTAAAATAAACGATAAAACATCAAAAATAAAATAACTTCCCCATGCAGGTGACGAAAATAAATAGATATACAAAAACATTGATACGTTTAAACAATAAGGTACACACTTACGCCATCTATCGCTAGCAAATGCTAACGTGTCATCTTACTATCTAATAATATAATTCACTGCCAACAGATGGCGATACTTATAGTTCTCTACAAAACGTATTATGGAAATTTTATATATATACTATTTTCAATATTGTAACATTTTCATTATTAATATAATTATTTGAAACTGTGTAATCTTAGAGCAATCAATATTAAAACTAATTAACTCTACAAAACCGTAAATTTAACAGAATAAGCCGTAAATAGCTATTGACTTAAAAGATTTACGGCTGCCCAATTTACCCAATTACCGGTACGCGCTATTAAAAGAATATTAAAACTTTTATTGCTGCTTCATATTCCCGTGATTTAAATTTTTAATAAAATTGTCGTACTTGTGGTTATTGTGCATATATTTCATTAACGTCTTAACATAGCTTAGTTACCGTTGTCAAAGATCCGGGTCCTCTACCCATAGAAGCCGCGAAAATTCGTAAAGGATTACTCAACGTTCACATAGAACTATAAGTTCATACCTACTCCAAATTTCTGCGAAGTAATGAACATATTGAGAAAATTTTTGAGAATTTTAAAGAGCTATTTTAAGTTAATCACTGACGGTCAAGGCAGTTTTAGGCATGTAGGTTGCTGAGGATTTGAATAGGCAAATTAAAACTGCAATCATCTAATCTCTGCCAAGGATATATTTTAATACTTTTGCTCATGTACCAGTTAGCAATCCTGCCATATCCTGGCCTCTATAAAATTAATGGTTAAAAAGTTTAAAGTAAGAAAACTCCAAGCTAAATTCTTGCTTTTATAAATATTAAACATATTATAAAGGTATGCGATACTATATTTATTTATTACATAACAGTGAAGAGCTAGGTCATATATTTGAATAATCAACCAATTATGCATTAATAATATTAACGATTTAATTTATTTATTTTGGATATCGATGTATATGACAAGTTATGTTGTTAGGTTTGTATTATTTAACACAAATTCTATTTAAAAATTTTTAATACTAGGTTTTGAAAAATAAATTATTTTTCAATACTAGGTTTTCCAATATCCCAATCCTCAAAAATGTATTTCATTTTTTCTATTCCTCTTATTTGAATTAATTTAAACTTGAAGATTAGTTTGTAATAAATAAAGAAACAAATAATAACTATGTATCATATAACGTTTCATTTGTATTCATTTTAAATATTTTTTCTTTATATTTTTACATAAAAACTGTGTAATGCGCCGCACTTACCTTAAACGTCTTTTCAGGAACAGCATTTTAGAAATAATTTTAAAAGGTAAAATGTAAATCTAATTTCCTGAGTGCAAATTTAAAGAACACAGAGAAAGAGAACAAAGAGGTACCTTGATTAATTTTACCGCAGTTAAGATTGTTAGAAACGAGGCTTTCCAATTAATAGTAGCGGATTTTTTACTATGCTTTACTTCAATTTGTAATTGACTTAATGACAGTATCCATGGCATTACAATATATCCTTAAATTTATGTTTTTTTTTGTAATTAAACTACTTATATACAGTATAATTATAATTATTGCGTTATGCCTAAACACTACATATTTTTGTTTCTATTTCTCGATTGATAGTATAAAAATAATGAATAGCCGTATAAAATAATTAGGTATAAATAATCTAAATGTTTATAAAATAATCGTTTATAGAAAATAATTTTTACATTATTATTCCAAGACATTTTTCCTTTAAGCTTTATTTTTTTGTGAAAGCGTTTAAAATGTATAAGTTCTCTCCTTTGCTTGATAGCGTTTTCAATATTAATGTTTTAAAGGATTTTAAATTTTATTGCACTTCCTCCTATTTTGATCTTCTTCAGAAAACAAAAGGAAAACAGCTACCGTATTGAAGCATACTTATTTTTAATGCTCGATTTCCATTGTAGAACACTTAAAAATTGTTAATTGAGTATTACACTCATCATATACCTTAAATCATTGTATTTTTGTATATATAATGTATTTTATCATTTGAAGACAGAATGTAATTCACAAAGGATATAAAATATTTATATTTCTTTAAAACTAAAATTAATTAAAAAAGACAAAATTAATTTTAAAAGTTCTCGAGATTATTTAAAAAACAGATAATTTTTTAATTAATTACTTCTGACAATTTGATTTTATCAAAGGATGAATTCAACAAAACAATCAAGTGATAAATTGTTAGTAATGTAATCAGTAATATAAAAATAATAAATTAAAAGTTATTTTTATTTAGTCCAGAAAAGGTCCTGTAGTTTACAAAATGACAAAATCAAATTGTCTTTAGTCTTACAGTAACAATATACAAAGCTAGCCCTTAATATTGATGTTAAAATAATAATACAAATATATAATATTATATCATAGAAATTCTTTTAAAGTTCGGTTAGATTAGGAGTTTGCTTAAATTGTAGGTTGAAAAACCTCTTTCGTTAGTATTCAGAACTTTTTTAACGGTGCCGTATGCAATATTTCGTGGAACGTTGAGCAATTTCTGATGCTGTAATATATATGGGGCAGTGTGGCTCTGGCTTGTGAACTAAAACATCAACGAAACAATACCGATACAGGTCAATAACTAAGTGCTTCCGTAATAAATTGGCGTCCAAAAAATAACCTATAAATAAAATTCCATTCAAATCATATTCGAAATATTTTATTACAACAAAAATTTCTCCAAAGATCGACTGAAATGAACTATTCCTGTTATTTGTGTTTATATTGACATAACTGCCGAGTTTGCGATTTCATGGCTCGGAATATAAACGAAATATACTGAAAATTGCTGCTATTCCCATTTCATTCTGTAACTGTAATTTATTGTTTCAGATGTCTCGAGTGCTGTGGGATGATCAGTGAGGGAGAATGATGTGTGAGTGATGTGACGTATATCGATAGTCGATATGGCGACCATGGATTTGACGAACGAGGTGGTCCGCCTGCGGGCTGAACTGGAGAAGGTCTCTTCTGAGCGAGACATGCTGCTATGCGAAGTCTCCAACTTGAGAAGGGAATTAGAGCTCAGCGAACTCAAGAATTTGCAGGATGACAGGTAAGTTGTGTTGCAGAATTAACGTATTTTTTTACAAAATCAATGAGATATTTCTGTCATTTCGATTTTGATTCTTATACTCCAGTATAAATAGCCCATTTTAGAATAAAATTTTAAGTCGTCAGTCCATTGCTGGACCCGTCAAACGTTTTAATGTATTCACTTAATTTCAAAAGCTAACTATGAATAACATAGTGTTAAGTAAAAGTATACTATACGCGTACCATTTATATATAACGGAGCGTGGATATATAAACACTATCCCTCACAGACAAAGGGAACCCACGTCTTGCCTCCTTTCAAAAGCCTCCACGATTCGTTGGCACTCCATGTCTCAGTGGTACGGTATCGGTATCAAGAGAGAAGCGAATTTAACATAATGTTCGTATTCTGCGTGAAGTCATTGTAGTGAGCGAGAAAGATATTTTTATTATATATATTTATCAGCTGTTATCATTAAATCTGTCTATCAGACAGAAACATATCCAAAAAGACATAAACTTTTTCACAGGTCAATCCTAAATATTTCTTTACCAAATATTCTGACTTTCATACCTTTCCATTACTTTTGTATCAAAACTAGCAAATCATGAGGTCTCCTATCCTCACGAGTAAAGAAAATTAACCAATCAGTCAAAGTAAAGATTTTATAACATTCGAAAGTCACTCTTCTCGGGGTTTTAATACTGTACTGACACTCGTAAAACACGTAATAGTGTAATAATACGCCAAAAGCGCCTAACATCATTCTGAAAAAGAGCTAATAATCTTATACTGCATGACCAATATTAAGAAATATCGCAAGAAAAACTGGCTTTGTAATAAAAAAAAAAACGGCATTTGAGAGTTACGAAGACAGACACACACAGATTTATCCCTATTTACGTTAAAAATGAGTTTAAACAGATCGTAAACTTATGTAGATACATGTTATTCTATGAAGAAGACTTCATAATGTTCTACCTTTTGCTTATTCATTGATTAATTAAGTAATCAAATTTCATATACTAGAACAAGTACATTTATAACAAAGTATTTTTAACAAAAATGTTGGTCTACGTGTATATTTCTAATCACCGAATCTCATAAATAGTTTTGGCCTAAATTTAACTCACTTTTATTACCACGACAACGCAAAAAACTAGTTAGTTTTATCAGAAACAATAATATTATTTAGCCAAATTATTAATACAGATAAATGTCAATATCGCTTGGGCCATATAGATGTCAGTCATTTAGACACTTGCACCAAACCCGGTTCCTATTACTATTGTTCATGACGGCTTCCGACATCAGTGGTGCTCAGAACAGCTTGTCACTTGATAGTATTTTTTTCTATATTTTTTTTGGTTAGCAAATGTAAGCTCAAGTCAGCGAGAGTAAGTCTACTCGTGAGAGGGCTAGCGTGTAAACAAAAATGTGAAATTTCAAAGAAAATTTCTCGCTGCTTCAGAATATAACCCTTAATTCTTTTATGTTAGAGTATATTTTTGTGTTCATATAATTAATGTTACTTTCTATATATTAATATTATAATAGCAGATATATAACAAAGATCTGATTGTTTATAATCCGGTTGTGTTCCTTTAACAGCCTTGCAGTCTATTTATTTAAAGTGAGTGGCATTTAATTTACTTTGTCAGTTTAAAATGTCGTAGTTTAGTGTTTCAAGCTTCATTTAATTAAAATGATTAAACGAACTATTCATTCTTAATACAAGAAAAGGCTCTAATATTATTCTAGTATCATTGGATTAATTTTAACACGTCGCTTTTATTTAGCTTATTATATTTAAAAATTCAATGACGTTAATTAAAAGCTAGTTGATTTGATCTGCTAGTGTTCTCGAGTCTTGGATTATTTTTTGCAACATCATTTTAAATATTTGGAAATCGATCTATATAAATATATCATTTTATTGTATAATATATATAACTATATATTTCACAAGATTGCAGTAGTTTATGGGTTTTAAAATGGAAAAGCATCTACTTATCGACCTATCTATCTATAAATACTTCATCCTTGCTTTCATCTTTATTATCACCCTCTATTGAAGGTCATATAAGATTATTTTTATATTTATATGTTACGCGATATTATAATATTTTAATTTAATTATTAATTATTAAACGTGATTAATTTCGTATATATCCTTGTATTTTTTTCCTCGTGCTATACTAAGCATCTATATTTGCTTGCTTATAAACAAAATAGTTCGACTGAATCTTAAAACGTTAAACTTATTGATAAGACTTTTTAAAGCTTATATAAACGAATATATATGGATTAAATATTTGTATTTATCTGGCCACAAACTAAAATTATATTGAATATGACTTGCAAAAATATATACAAACATATATCAAAATATATTAAAAATGTTATCAATAAGAACGAGCTCATAGCTACAACCTTATTGAAACCTATTAAAGCTTCAAATATTTTTTAATGAATATTACCTAAGTAATAGGTTGAAATTATTCTCAAGTTGATACTTAAGGATCACTTAAATTATCTGAAAGCCGTCAGAATAACGATCATAATCCCTGACAGGTAACAAAGTCGATATTTTGTATAATCCTAAAACACGTGTTAATTTAAGCTCTAGTTAAAGTTTCATCTTTATCGATCCATCTTCTAAATATGTACCTACATTATTTTACGTATTCTGCCAATTATAAACCAATTAAGAATATTTGATGTATTTCAACTGATTATTATTATTTAATATTTTAAGTATAATTTATATAAACATAAGTTATTATTAATGATTATAATATTGAACTAAATTTCTAACGTTTGTTTATATTATTAGTAAAATCTATTGAATTAGATGGAATAAAATAAAAATATTTATTCTAATATATTTAAAAAAATCCGATAGTTATATAAAAATTAAAATCTATAATATTAAATATTAGTACTGCAGACTATGAAAGTGCTTGAAAAATTCTTTATTTAACTTTTGGCTTTTTCATTCGAGATGCCGTCAAATGTCATTTGAAATTCTTAATCCTCTTCAGATTTGAGTGGCCACAGAATTGTCAAGAAGAATGACTTTGAGAAGTTTTTAATAATTTATTACATTTAACAGAATTTTATGTGTTGAAAGAGAAATTAGATTTTAAATAAATGATCATTGGAAAAGCTATTATTGTATTTATAAAATATATACATATAATTGGCATTATGAACATTTTTCTACACTTTTGTGACTGATTCCATTCGAAAATGTATTCTATATTCTAGATTCATACCCAGAAACCTATTAAAAAGCAGAAAATGACATTTCCGGAACAATTCACATCTAACGAAGCGTTTGTCATTTCTATATTAAAATTCATAGTGCCTTTACAAATAAAGATGGTGAACAGTATTACGTAAGAAGATTGTGTAATATTCAACGTTTCGTCTTGTTTACATAGAGCTAAATCTAAATTAAAGTAATGTTTTCGGATTTACTACATGATTTTTTATATAAAAATAAAAAATCGAGTAGTAAATCCGAAAATACATATTAGTTTCATTTAAATGAGTACTCGCGAAAATCTTAGATCTCATTATAAAGTTAAGTCCTTAAAACCTATTTGTTACTTTGACATATTAATTACGTAATCACAGTAATCGGAAAAATATTAGTATTATTTTAACCCTATACAAGTTACTTTTCTTTACTTTGAGACAGTTTTTCCATTTTCAGTCTTTTGTCTTACTATTCATTGAGCGACTAATTATATTACTCTGAGAACTTATCTTATTTTTTACTGTAACTCTATGGTCTACTTACTGCCAGATGATGGAGTTATTACGTTAGTTTCGGACATTTTTTTTTCTTTTTACTGTGAGTATAATTTATTTAGTATTCGTTAAGCAATATTTGTTTGTTCAAGCCAATATTTCTTTTTATACGAAACTATTTTTGAAGTATCGACAACATGGTTATTTTACATTTGTATATTAAAGTCCAAATTTTAGTTAAAATATCGTGAATTGCAGTTCTATGACTAAAACTACACAACAATAGTGTCCTTAAAAAAACGTATTTTGTTTTTGTATTTCCTTTTTTGATGATTTTCATTACGATGTCAGGTCATTAGCAGTTGTATGTTTATAATATCTATTGTGAGTAATGACTGTGTTATATAAAGTATTATATAATAATGATTATTTGATGACATATACATATGTATAATAGAGAATAAAAAATATATTTTTACTATATTCTGCATAAAGACCTTCATTGTAAAGCTATAAGATTTATTTTAATTTTATTATTGAGTTTCAGTTGTTTGATACATAATAACTCAGAAACAGTTGTTTAGTATGGTCATATTTGGACAACTATCTTGCATTACTTAGTTTCAAATGTGAAAAAAGCAGTCATTATACATTAATTACAAGAATTAAAATTCAATGACATCACTCTAAATTATTTGAATGTATTAATAAAGTCTACCTAAGTTTTAGATATTACTATGTATATACATTTGTATATACTATTTTATATAAATGAACAAATATTTATCTTAATCGTATCAGTTTATTGCTTAAGTTATTGTACCGAATGCAACTGAACCAAATGTTCTCCACCAGTCTATATAATATTTAACTTTCTATTACATTTTTTTCATTATAGTTGTCTCGGCTCACGGCAGTTAAGTGATTTGCATAGTAAAAGTGCCATTACAGATATGAAGTAGAAGTTTTTTTTAACGTTACAAAACAAAGTCATTGTGTTATATATATGTTTATAAAAAATGTTTTGTGACGTATATTTTTTATATGTACGTACTTAATGTACTCGGCTTGTACTCAGGTTTTGCTTGTCTACACATTTTACGAAAGAGTTTTGTAGTTTGAATGATTTATGAAACAAAAATTACAATATGAGATATTCTTAAGAGCAGTTTTGTTGCCTTGTTGTTTAAAAATCCGGGATGTATTTCCAAGTCTACGTATTCAGCAGATGTTAGGTTATTTACCAATGGACCAGCTGTTCACTTGATCTTCGAGGTCCATAAAATAGCTCTCTCAAGTAGTCCAGATTGGTTAAACCAAACCAATTCAACTTCTTTTAAACATTTATATCTTTATTATTACCTTTAAAGCAGTGTCGATTTAAAGATTTGAATTAAAATTTAGGAATATTTTATATAATGTAGAATTACACAGAAAAAAAAACAGAACAAGATTTTTTTTTGTAAATACCTAATTACTAGCTATTAGAATATTCGTAAACTATGGTTATTTACTTACAAATATCTCCTTCTATGTCTTATATTTTCTTATTTTGTTATCTTGTATATTCATACACTTACCAAACGGCACGCAGTTTTTAACCTAAATTAGGTTAATGTTTCCTTGAAAGCTATCGAAT